AATTCAATTAAAATGTTCTGGTACTTGTACTGTAAGAAGGTAGATTTTAGGTTTGCTTCAAGGTAGAAATGGAGAGTTGGATCATCCAAAGCAAAGAGCAGCATATTAGCAGATGTAAATGATTTCATTAAATTACAAAGGGGTACCTCTTATGTAGCACTGTTTTTCTGCCAAACTCCTCTTTCAGAGTCACCTGTTTGCCTACAGAAAATCTGCAGTAGTATCAAGCTCTCCCTATCCTTCTCCATAAGTGGTGATGCTTAGACGTTTCTTCTTTTATGAATTGGAACTTTGCATGCAGTGCAAAACATCAGAGAGAGTCTGCTTTTCTACTAAGAAATCAAAAATGTGCAGACATATTTCCTACTTTCTTACCTGCTTTTGTCTGCCTTGATGTTGCTTCTGCTGTCAGTCTTCTCTAAAGGAGTGACTCCTGTAGGACAGTCATGGTAGTCAGAGCCTGGTCCACAAGCTCAGATAGAGAGAGATAGCACGAGCAGGCCAGCTGCCTTAGGCCCTTCTCCAAGTACATGTCAATTTGGGGAATTCACTTACATTTGTGCTTCAGCTTCTCCATATTACAGTGTGCGTAATACTTATTCTGCTTACTTGCTTTACTACTTTTTACTTTTACAGCACCTTCTAGCAGAGAATCATGTGCACTTCATAAATATCAATGAACTAATCCTCACAACTCCCTTGTGAGATAGCTGTTTTTATCAATTTACAGATTTATGTTTGTACAATATTCTGAAACTGTAAAACACTATATAAGCATAAAGTATTTTTATGATCACAAGTGCCACTGAATCTGATGCCGGGGCCTCTGATATAAGGCGTTACTTCCATTGATAATAATGGGATCTGCCCAAGGTAATTTATGATAAAGTCATAATTACAATTTGAGACAGGATTTAAATTAACTTGTCACAACTATGAGGTATATCTGCAGTGTTGTTGTAGCTGCGCTAGTTCCAGGATCTCAGAGATACACCCAGCTGTGGAAAAGAGAGACAAAGTGGGTAAAGTGATATTGTTTATTGGACCAACTTCTGTTGATGAGAAAGAGAAGCTTTCAAGCCACACGGAGTTCTTCTTCAGGTCTGAGAAAGGTGATAACTCCTTATCTGTTCCACCTTGTATTTAGCTGTGATACTCTGAGTACTTTTCTCAGACCTGAGGAAGAGTTCTGTGTAAGCTTGAAGGCTCGTCCTTTTAGCCAAGAGAAGTTGGTCCAATAAAAAGATATCACTTTACCCACGTTGCCTCTCTAGCTATAAAGCATCTTATTTTCATAATTAAAGGTGAAGATTTATCACGCAACAACTCTACCTTTACCCCCAAGCGAAGAATGACAAATGCAGACCGACACTCATTTCAACATGGTTTCCTCATATAGAAGTTGACCTAATGTGTTACTGTCAAGTGGAACAAATAGTTTTATGAACTTTTCTAATGGGTTTTGTCCACTAAAAGTAAAAGCTAAGGTCCCCTAGGAACAAAACAGGAACAGCGGCAACCACCGGAATACCACCCCCACCCCCGAGCAGCAGCGACTGCTGGAGCGCGCACACCCCCCCCGCTGAGCATCAGCATCCTGGAGCACCCTTTCTTCCCCAGCACCTACGATTTAGTTAGGAGTATTTTTAGTAAAAGTCATGGACAGGTCACTGGCTGTGACTTTTTGTTTACTGCCCATGACTTTTACTAAAAATATTCGTGAATAAACCATAGCTTTAGCAATTATTATATTTTCGGGGGAGGGTCTTGACAACACTTATCAAAATGAACATTCTGAAGTCCACTGCAAGGTATGACCCTCAGCAGATCAGAAGTAACTACAGGGCTCTGGGAGTAAGATGAGGGAGTTGGGAGCACAGGTGGTGTTCTCTTCAATCCTTCCAGTCACGGGTAGGGGCCTCAGCAGAGACAGATGCATCCTGGAGGTGAATGCCTGCCTGCGAGGATGATGTCGCCAGGAGGGCTTCGGCTTCCTTAACCACGGGATGCTGTTCCAGGAAGAAGGACCTAAACATAGATGGCGCCACCTATCAAGGAAGGCAAAGACCATATTTGGCTACTGACTGGATAACCTAGTGAGCAGGGCTTTGGAGCTGTGCTCCGGCTCTGCTCCAGCTCCAAGCAAAAACCTGCAGCTCCACTGCTCCGGAGCTGCTCCACGCACCAACTCCGGGCTCCGCTCCAAAGCCCTGCTAGTGAGGAGGGCTTTAAACTAGGTTCGATGGGGACAGGTGACCAAAGCCCACAGGTAAGTCAAAAACAGAGATATCTGGGAGAAGGGTCGGAATCTGGGGGGAGCATGGGCTGTTATAGCAGAAATAAGGGAGAGACAAGACAGAACTGGGGGCGGAAATCAAATCAGTATCTTAAATGTCTGTATACTAATCCGAGAAGTATGGGGAATGAGCAGGAAGAACTCAAAATGCTAGTAAATAAACACAACTATGACATAGTTGGCATTACAGAGTCTCGGTGGGATAATATGCATGACTGGAATATTGGTATAGAAGGATACAATTTGCTCAGGAAGGACAGGCAGGGAAAAAAGGGAGGAGGTGTTGCCTTATATATTAAAAATGTATTTCCTTGGACTGAGATAGAAATAGGAGACAGACTTGTTGAAAGTCTCTGGGTAAGGATAAAAGGGGTAAAAAAACAAGGGTAATATCATGGTAGGAGTCTACTACAGACCACCAAACCAGGAAGAAGAGGTGGATGAAGCTTTTTTTAAACAACTAACCAAATCATCCAAACACGGGACTTGGTGGTGATGGGGGACTTCAACTACCCAGACATCTGCTGGGAAAATAACACAGCAACAATGTATTGGAGACAATTTTTTATTTCAGAAAGTGGAGAAAGCTACTAAGGGAGGAGGCTGTTCTAGATTTGATTTTGACAAATAGGAGGAACCGGTTGAGAATTTGAAAGTGGAAGGCAACTTGGGTGAAAGTGATCATGAAATGGTAGATTTCATGATTCTAAGGAATGGTAGGAGGGAGAACAGCACAATAAAGACAATGGATTTCAAGAAGACAGACTTTAGCAAGCTCAGGGAGCTGGTAGATAAAATCCCATGGGAAGCAAGTCTAAGGGGAAAAACAACTGAAGACAGTTAGCAGTTTTTCAAAGAGACATTAAGGGCACAAGAGCAAACTAGGAAAGATAGGAAGTATTGCAAGAGACCACCCTAGCTTAACCAGGAGATCTTCAATGATCTAAAACTCAAAAAAAAGAGTCCTACAAAAAGTGGAAACTTGGTCAAATTACACAGGATGAATATAAACAAACACCACAAGTATGTAGGGACAAAATTTAGAAAAATCAAGACACAAAACGAGCTCAAACTAGCTAGGGACATAAAAAGGAACAAGAAAACATTCTACAAATACATTAGAAGCAAGAGGAAGACCAAAGGCAGAGTAGGCCCGTTACTCAATGAGGGGGGAAAGACAATAACAGAAAATGTGAAAATGGCAAAGGTGCTTAATGACTTCTTTGTTTCCGTTTTTACCAAGAAAGTTGGTGATGACTGGACATCTAACATAGTGAATGACAGTGAAAATGAGGACGGATCAGAGTCTAAAATAGGGATAGAACAAGTCAAAAATTACTTAGACAAGTTAGATGTCTTCAAATCACCAGGGCCTGATGAAATGCATCCTAGAATACTCAAGGAGCTGACTGAGGAGATATCTGAGCCATTAGCAATCGTCTTTGAAAAAAGTCATGGAAGACGGGAGACATTCCATAAGACTGAAAAAGGGCAAATATAGTGCCCATCTATAAAAAAGGGAAATAAGGACAACCTAGGGAATTACAGACCAATCAGGTTAACTTCTATACTCAGCAAGATAATGGAGCAAATAATTAAGCAATCAATTTGCAAACACCTAGAAGATAATAAGGTGATAAAGAACAGTCAGCATGGATTTGTCAAGAACAAATGGTGTCAAAGCAACCTGATAGCCTTCTTTGACAAGGTAACATGCCTTGTGGATGGGGGGTGGGGGGAAGCAGTAGATGTGGTATATCTTGACTTTAGTAAGGCTTTTGATACTGTCTCGCATGATCTTCTCAGAAACAAACTAGGGAAATACAACCTAGATGGAGCTACTATAAGATGGGTTTATAACTGGTTGGAAAATCATTCCCAGAGAGTAGTTATCAGTGGTTCACATTCATGCTGGAAGGGCATAATGAGTGGGGACCCACAGGGATTGGTTCTGGGTCCGGTTCTGTTCAATTTCTTCATCAATGATTTAGATAATGGCATAGAGAGTACACTTATAAAGTTTGCGGACGATACCAAACTGGGAGGGGTTGCAAGTGACTTGGAGAATAGGATTAAAATTCAAAATGATCTGGACAAATTGGAGAAATGGTCTGAAGTAAACAGGATTAAATTAAATAAGGACAAATGCAAAGTACTCCACTTAGGAAGGAACAATCATTTGCACACATACAAAATGGGAAATGACTGTCTAGGAAGGAGTACTGCGGAAAGGGATCTGGGGATCACAAGTTAAATATGAGTCAACAGTGAATGCTCAAATGGTCACAGCCACGAACAAGGGATATAATAATTACAATAAAACAAACCACCCCCACCTAGCACCTGGAGAAAATACTAAAAAAGTCTGAAATTACTTATTTGTTGTTGTTTTTTAATCTATCACTTCGATTAAGACACACAATTTCACAGGCTGCAGTGAGCCATGTTTAGCTGGGATTTCACTGCAGAATTTGATGGCTAAGTTATCTTTGCATTTAAAAAAGAGTGCTAAGAGAATGAATGGCACAGACTTACTACATTAATAATAATTTTAAAACCCCAACACCACTAAAGCAGCTTTAAAGACTATTTTAAAACTGCTTTAAGATCATCATTCATGTTCATCTGGGTCACGCCATACACTTGGCTGCAAGAAGCTAAACAGCCATGATATTTCTAAGCCTACTGTACATCTGAGACCTACCTTTGCAGAGGCAGAAATTTCCTGCACTCCTTTGGCAGCAGCATCTTTTATGATTGGTGTAATGAGACCTCGGTCTGTTGCCACAGCAATAGAGATGTCGATAGATTGCAGCTGCCTGGGGCCCTCTCCATCCCAGGTCACATTCACATCTGGCATTTGCTAGAAAAGAGAAACACAAAGAGAGCCAGCTGTTAAAGGAATAATGGTTCAACAATTATTAAAAGGAAACCCCTTTAAAATGCACAGTGATATACAGGCATTCACCGAAGTAATTAATGCAGCACAGAATGCTGTTTGAGAGAACAGGTCACATCTGTCATCAGGACTGCCACAAGCAAGACAGGGATAATAAAAGACTTGCCATGTAACTCTAAGAATAGACCTACTTTATTAGCTAGCATCCATTTAAATCTACACTGTCAGCAAGTGTGAGTGTATGCCACAGAGATGGAAATTGTGCAGCAGGGGGGCAACAAGAAATATTTATGAACACTCAGGGTCATTGGGAAACTAATGATATGCTAACAGCAGCCTCCAAATTCCATTGTTGCTCACAAGTATCACCTTTTGGATGCCTGAAATTCAAGAGATACAAAGCAGAGGGGTTTTTTTGCCAACCATGAAGTAGGGTGAGCCAACATACTGTATTTACATTTTATATGAGAGGGTAGTGAACAGATTAAAATGGAAAAGGGATGCAGAGATCCTACTAAACTTACACCAGGATAGTAATGTTAATTGCTTTTGCCCTGCTTGTTTTGGTACCACTCTAATCAAAAAAGTTGGTTGAGTTTTAACTGAGTATATTGCAAAAGGCTGAAGTCTATTATCGGTGTTAGGTTCTCTTATCCAAAAAAGCCTCACGCAGACTTCTAGGGACAGATCCAGATTGAAGTTAATTGATTAACGATAACCAATCACAAGTCCTCTTGAGTTTATCAAACACAGCAAGGTAGACACACACACACACACACACACAAAGGAGAGAGAGAGAGAGAGATGGATAACTAAGGCAATTGGTAACGGGGTATTTGGCCCTTCATGTCTAAGTCACCAGTTTTAAGTAATCCTGAGGGAGGGATAGCTCAGTGGTTTGAGCATTGGCCTGCTAAGCCTAGGGTTGTGAGTTCAATCCTGGAGGGGGCCATTTAGGGATCTGGGGAAAAAAAAACCAGAAGGCAGGGGACTTGACTCGATGACCTTTCAAGGTCCCTTCCAGTTCTATGAGATAGGTATATCTCCATTTATTATTCATAGAATCATAGAATATCAGGGTTGGAAGGGACCTCAGGAGGTCATCTAGTCCAACCCCCTGCTCAAAGCAGGACCAATACATATATGAGCTGTAGGCTTGTTCTGTGTCCAGTGCGAAATGAGTTATTAGAAAGTCCAATTCCTAGTGGGGAATGTCTCAGTAGAAATGCCCATCCAATCACTGGCCTAAGAACTGAACTTTCCTCACTCCTTGGTAGTCTAACATCATCATGGGATGAGATACACTGGCAAGTGGTAGCAAGAGGGACACCTGGGGGTTTATATGAAGCTTCAGACACTAGTGCTGTCATTCTAGCAATTGTAAAACCCAAATAATAAAACAACCTGGAGTTGAAAAGCTGAAACTTTGTATCTTGCTGGCACTTTGAAGCAAGATTTTTTTTAAAACTGTTTTGAACATCCAACATTCAGATCTCTACCTTGTCATCCCACAGATGGTACTCCTGGGCTATTTGCATAAGAGGAGAATATGCAAGAAACATTCTCAGATCACCTTCTTATGTGTATGAAGAGAAGAAGAATTAAGATATTGTGATGTATTATTTTGTATCCTTAAAGAGGAATACATTTATCAGTCAGGGAAATGTAAAAATCTCCTATTAAACCAAGTAGTAGTAGTCAAAGTTTTCTGAATTTCAAGGTTTTCATGCAATTTTGTCAAAAATTCTATTTTTGATTAACCATCTCCCATTTGATTAACCATTAGCTAGTTTTGACTAGCTAATAACTGAGCTTATTTCTGACATGCTATGTATACATTTGATTATTTCTGAACATTTTAAGTTACTAAAAATCAAATTTGAGTGTGGGTTGTTTTTATTAACATCACAATAGTATAATGGAGTGGGTGTAGTCTTATGATTACTAAATATCTTCCAAAACAATAAATAGCTTTTATGTAACGTACACATAAAATTAGCACATCATTAAAATACTCTATTCAATTTCCCCTCCCCAATTTACATATTTTAATTCACAAATGTCTTCTAGTTATCAACTGCATCAAAACTGGAATAGTAATAGCCTATGTGGCAACTCATTTATAACTGCTCACATACACAATGTACTAAACAAGCTGTTCATCATCATCATCCAGTTATTAGAGATCTTTGAAATTTTCTTTTAAGAGCCTGGAAGACGACATGTTACTGCTGATTTTTTAATGCCCAGCAGCAATCTAATCCTTCAGTAGAAGAGCCAAACGCTGGATTAGCAATGACAGTCAACAACAACAAAAAATGCAAAATCTAATCAACTAAAATTCAGATATTAAGAACAGAAAATCATATTTCCTAAGTTGATTGGTATAGATCATTCTGTAATAATAAATGCAGAAATCCCCTTTTAAATAACAAATGAACAACATGCATAATCCTTACACCATATGGTAAAACATACTGAAAAAAAATCAACTGTGAAAGGTACCTGTTATAGTTGCTTTCAGAGGATATCTATACTACAGAAGGGAGATGTGATTCCCAGCATAGGCAGACAGACTTGCACTAGTTCACCTTGAACTAGCACACTAAAAATAGCAGAATAGATGTTGTGGCACTGGCAGCAACTTGGGCTAGCCACCCAAGTCCAAGCCTGCCCAATCTCTTGCGTCTGGGAATGGATGCCTAGCCTGATAGCCGCCACTGCCACAAGATGTAACATCCACAATGCTATTTTTAGCACACTTTCTTGTGTTGAGCTAACATAAGTCTGTCTACCTGCCCTGAGAATCACACCTCCAAACTGCAGTGTAGACACACCCCCAGGTAGCAGGCTGCACCTGCTAGAAGTATTAACTTGTTCTTAGAAGTTTTTGCAATACAGATCATATAAAAAAAGAGTTTTTAGAACATTAACACTATTATTTAACTTATTCTTTTATTGATAGAAGAAATGAATATATAGAAATTGAACATTCCATTTTAGTAAATTGCTGTAGATAGAAACTGTGCTATGTGCTATTTAGCAAACAGACAGTATCCCTAAAGTTGGGAACAAATCTGAGGCCCCCTAGAACTTCAAAGTTATCATTGTACTATACACTATGGCCACTCAGAACTTCTTCCAATTCCAAAATCCTGGCCCTCACCATTTAAGCTAAAATAGTCTCTTGATTTCTATACAGTAGGAAAAGCAGTTGCTCATCTACTTTGGGTGCTCAACTTAAACTAAACAACAAAAATAAATAAATAAATAAATAGTATAGATACACACACACACACCTCCATTATGACTAAACTACAGCAAGTCCATCCTCTATTAGTTATTTGCAGCAACATGCAAATGAAGTACGGAAACAATCCACACATTACTCCCCCCTCCCCATTAAAAACACCCTCCCAATTCTCCTCTTTTCAAATGCTTAGGCAACAAGATGGGCTTTGCAATGTACCCTTAAAGTAATGAGATGTAGGCAATTTTGGACCAAAGAGGCGAGCAAGTTTCAAAGTCAAAGCATTCTCACAGATAATGCTCTACTACTCCTTTGAATTTCACAGAAGAGTCTCTGTACCTGCAGCAATATGGCATAAGGAGAGAGGCAATCTCTCAGGTATATAGATCATAGGTAAGGCTACGATTTTGTCACAGAGGTTGCAGAAGTCATGGAATTGGTGACTTCCAGAGAACTCCATGACTTCAGCCAGTGGCAGCTGGAAGCTGCAGGATCCCACCACTGTTCCTGAGCCGCCGCAGGGGGACCCTGGAGCTCCCAAGCCGCAGTAGAGCAGGAAACCCCAGAGCTCCAAGCCCCAACGGGCAGTAGGGACCCCCGGGACTCTGAGCCAGGACCCTCACAGCTGCCCCCTTTGTCACAGATATTTTCAGTAAAAGTCACAGACAGGTCACAGGCTTCTGTGACTTTTTCTTTATTGCCCGTGACCTATCCCTGATTTTTACTAAAAATATTGTTGAGTTACTGCTCTGATGACCGGGAGATGGCTGAGCGATGTTCGGTCGCCAAGTTGATGGCATTCCTTGTGAATTCTCATTTAGAGTGGGCCCTGTGAAGGCCACCATCTTCCACCACATCACTGCAATAAATTTTGCTACTGCTGATGTAGCCATTTGAATCAATCAACTTCAGGTGAAATTGTAGTTGCTGCTCTACACCAGCCATACAAAAGAAGACTAAAAACATGCATGACAAAATCTTAGCCTTAATCATAGGCCATTTAGGGCTTTATTAAGTCAATGCCAACACCTTAAATTCCATGTCAAATACCAGTACACAGTGCAGATCATGGAGCACTATTACTACGGTATGCTCACAATACTTTCATCTAAAAAGAGGTAATGCATAGAAAAAAGTTTATTCTACAACTATATTATTGAAGGTAAATTATTTACTTACTTTGAGGGTAACTGCTGTTGCTTTGATAATAAAGTCATTTACTGATACTTTAATATCATCTGTAAGAGGAAAAATAAATACAAATATTATGAGTAGTGGTTACCAGTGTAGCTCCAGAAATTACAAACCAGACAGTTTCTTGACTGAATATTCCAGTGTTTCAGTCAATTAGTGTTTAGGACTCTTAGAAAGTCATACTCACGGCCGGCTCCAGGGTTTTGGCCGCCCCAAGCAGACAAAAAAAAAAAAAAAAGCCGCGATCGCGATCTGCGGCGGCAATTCGGCGGGAGGTTCTTCGCTCGAGCAGGAGTGAGGGACCGTCCGCCGAATTGCCGCCGAATAGCTGGACGTGCCGCCCCTCTCTGGAGCGGCCGCCCCAAGCACCTGCTTGCCAGGCTGGTGCCTGGAGCCGGCCCTGGTCATACTGTCACAAATTATTAAATACTTGGGTTACACAATCACAGCATTTAAGCTCTATATAAAATGAATAAATTCTAGATACAAAGCACAAGGCTTCTATTACCACAAGGAAAGAGCAGTTCAGAAACAGTGTGCTATTAGTCCCACAATAGACAAAGGAGAAAACCTGTAGTCTCCTTACTCCAGTTTATTTGTTTCCATACTGAAGTGTCAGACAATGAGGGAGATGCTAATGGACAAAGCACTGCCTAATACACTACTGGGAGTACTCTTATATAGGAAAAGGGAAAGGGAAGAGCAGTCAAGATGCCCTAATAAAAATTAGAGATAGAAAAGAAAAAAAAAAGAGAGATTGAATGCTTCACTAGTATTTAAAGCACAAAGGATAAAATTAAACCAGCAGATGTGGATGGAGAGGCAAGCAATTAGGAGAAATGCGATTCATGAACTTTAGAACAATTAGTTTCCATTAATTTAGTTGTATTAGTTGACAAGAAATGTCTATTCTGGGAACAACTTAACTGTTCTCCAAAATTCTTTTAATTGACAGGGAAAATATCACACCACAGAAATATCTTGTTTCCAAATGCAAAGACTTATCTTATTTTCAAAAAATGACCTACAATGTATTTTAGGATGGAAAAAAAGAAGTGTGTTAAGTTTTTAACCAATGCTGATGAGCAATCTGGTGGCTTAACTATCTTTTTCTCGTGGGGTAGGGCGGAAGAACATATTAAAGGTTGATCTAGTTCCTTTACAAAAGTGCTGGACTGAGGAGTGGAGAAACCAAAATCCTCTGTCTTCTCCACACAACAGGAACCTCCTGGACATCAAGAAAAACTCTCCCCGCCCACCTGCCCTGCACTCACCTATGTGTCTCAATGGGAACCTGGTGTTAACAGCTGCTAGTGCCAAAAGGGAATTCAGTATTAATCGTTCACAAACCCTGGCCTCCAGGCTAGGACTACCAACAAGATTAGCATAAGCGCTAGTGATTGTATTTGTGGTTTTGAACATCCACCCTCTATGAATTATACTGAAACCTCCAACTCATATCACAGCCATTACATATGCTTAGTCCTGACATGGACGAGATTAATCATCACATGAGCAATCACTTTTTGTCAGATGAACATAACAGAGGTTGTTTTGTTTAAAATGCTTAGGTATGACATGAATAAGAGATGTACATGAATTAAGAAGCCATGCACTATTAGTTAACATGTGAGCTCATCTTTTAATTAGTTCATTAAATACTGAAGTTCCGACGCAAACCTTAGCAATTGCCTGTATTTTTCATTTTTTCAAGCTATTTCTAATTTTTAAAAAACCCTTTCAAGGCCAAAATTTCACAGGTTTAAACAAAAACACACAATCAGGATCCAATCCCGTAACCATTTATGTGCATATATTTACTCATTTGAGTAGTTCCAATGATTTTAAAACAAGCCTCATTATGCAATTTAAGTAACTCATATGAGTTAGTGCTTGCTGAATCAGGTCCTGGGCTGAGGGACAGGAATGTATGTTAAAGTTCCAACCTGTCATTTACATCCATGTTTACCTTGCAAAATCCTGGGAATTGTGCATGTAGCTGAGTGAACATTTTTTTGTTGTTGTTGAAAATCTGGCAAAATGGATTCTCTTTTCAAATAGGTTCTAAATAAAGGTTCTTGTTTTGCCCCAAGGGTTTTGAACTGGTGACCACCACTGAAGGAACTTCTGATTCAATGCCCCAGATCCAATTCTGCCTCTACTGTGTTGATTGAGCCCGTGTTCTGTTTCCAGTCAGTGTGCTGCCAAAATATCATGAAAACAACCATTCTTGCAAGATTTTGTCCCAAGATGGCAGAACTCTCATGGAAACAAATGATGCTGTTGGTTGAGGTTTTCCAAGTAATTTAAGAGATTCGGAAATTCAGTGGGATTAGGTCTCTTTGATTCCCAGCTGTAGGCTCTAAACCCAAACACCAGCTCTAATTTGACCTTATCTACCAACTAATACAACTCTGAAAACTGCCTTCGCAGCACATTTCGTAATTACTTATTATCAAGCTAGACTAACCCATTTGGATCCACCAGTGGTTATTGCAATTGGACATTAAATGTGGGGGTTGGAAACTACAGTAAGGAGAATAGTGAATAATGAGCAAACTGATTTTGATGAGTTATCTATTAGCAAAATCCTTCCAGAACACTCTTTATAGTGTACTGTATATCCACTCTTTAGACCTTTCCTGTCTGAGAAGAGATGAAATTACTGCAGCATGTGAGAATATTTTTTCCCTCAAGCACACATACTGTATGTAGGAGGTGGCTATGTGCTACTCTCAGATGGGAACTGGAACTAGAAAAAAAAAAAAATCACTGAATCAAGAGAACTTTATCATACAATCCTATCGTTCCAGCTGACATCATGAGCAAAACTTCATTCTTTGCCTTTGACATCATAAAGCAGACCACATCTCCACTTGACTCATTATAATGGGATAATGACTTGCTTTATAACACTGCATGCAGAATAAATACACAGAAACAGTGCTGAGTTTAAATGGAGAAAGAATACCAGTCACTTAGAACTCCAAACTTTAGACAATGTTGATATGTCAAAACGTCAAGATAATTTATGGAGATCATGTTAAAAATAAATATTTTTGTAACAATACTTTGGAAGTCTTTAGGACTAAAATGGGAAGACATTTTCTTTTGCTAGAATGGCTTACAGTGAATTAATTACTAAAAAAATCTGTAGTTTGGTATATTTAATGTAATATTTAGTTTACATTTATATATCCTTTTTTCCAGAAAGTTACCAAGGTACTTTGCAAACTATAGTATATATTATACATGAAGGAATTGTTCCACATGCTAATGAAATGTAGCCACCTCTGGAGTACAACCTAGCTGCTTTCTAACAAGGTGTATGTGAGCAATACTAAACAGTTTATGACAAGAATAAAAGGTATTCAGGTATCTAACTAAATCTGTAGGAAGAATGGCTAAAAAGCGACCATGTCAAGATTTACAAAGAGATTTTCAAAGGTATATATGGTACAATGGCACTTCATTGCCATTGATAGTCGATGGGAATTAGGTGCCTGACTGCCATGTGTTCCTTTGAAATCTCACATCTTGTCTCATTCTAAATTTCTGCAGTTTTGGTACAGTGAGCAAGTTAATTTTAGTTCAGTGTTAATTACAATATTAAATTAAAGCTTTGGAGGAGCAACTCTATACATGGATTAGAATACAGTAATATAAACGAGCCTATTAATAAAGAGTAACACACACACACACACACACACACACGTACAGTACACACTAGCTTAAGTCTTATGTAGAAATCTACTGTTGGTCTAAAGATAAAGAAAAACAATCCTGTATATTCAAATTTCATTGTTCCTTTTTATGTTCCGTGATGCATAAACTGGCAGAATCACAAGGATTACCCGTATTCAACTGTGAACCAGAACCTCGCCATTCTACAATGACCCTTGGGGCCTTTTACTACAAGGATTACCAAGGTGACGGTATCTGCAAATGCTGAAATTCTGTTAGCAGCAGCAGCAAAGCAGGCAGCAGCTCTCAATGCATGGGTCAGCAGTCTATAGTGTTTAAAAACCAAACTAAACCCAATATTAATGATTTAGCCCAAAGAGAGACAGTGAACTTGAGAGGAGTGGATTTTTCCAGTATGAACATAAGGAATGGTGCATACTGCTTAGACAGAATTGCTTCCCTTCCCCCTACTCCAGATAGAGTGTGGAAAAAGTCATTGGCTATATTTGCACTACATTACTTGCAGAGTGTTTAGGAGGAGGCTGTGATAACTAGATACAATCAGTAGTGTGTGGCAGGAGAGGCATAGCTGCTGATACAGAGTAGTGTAACTTCACAATAACTATGGCATCATCCTGAAGGCATGTCTGAGATTTTTTTAGGGTATTAAATGCATTATCAAAAAAGCTGCAGCTTGCTGGACTAGTCTATTGTCATAGTAACTGCTGGCTCCTGAATAGCCAAGGCAGCATAAATACTTCAATTCAGCACTTGATACATGTGTTTGAAAACATTTCTCAAACAGGGGAAATTAAGCTGCATTTCTATAATTAAGAGTTATTTGCTTAACTATAACTAGTGAATTTGGGGGCTATATCCTAGTCTCCTTTTGTCCACATAACTAATCGACAGTATTTGTCATCATGGGTAGCGTCTTCCCAAAAGAGAGCCAGGATTGTATTCTAATAGCTGGGATGTTGCGGATGAACATTGAGCTACATTGGCAGAGGTGTGTATGAGACACAAGCTTGTCCACATTACTCCTGGCTGTCCGTGTCCGTTTCCCTTAGTGCAAAGGCATAGTAAAATATACTTCATCTTTTAACCAGGACCACCTTAGTTGTGTATATTCATAACAAATCAGAACAATAAAAGCTCTCTGTCTAGGGGATGCTGGATTCTCTTGCCTCCTGGACAGCAGCTTCCTAGTCATCTGTTAGAAACCACCATCCTAAAACCAAATTAAAAAGGGATCACAACTCAATTTTCAGAACACAATTCAATTTTCATTTAAGGACATTCTGGCTCCTTCCTCCACCCTCACACACACACCTCCACTTCATGCAACACTTAGGAATCC